GGAAGTGGGCGTGGTTAAAGTCCGATTTCGCCCATTTTCAATACCAACCTACCTTGGATTAAGGGAAATCTTCATACCAAATTTCGTTAAGATATCTCAATTTTTGCTCGAGTTATCGTGTACACGGACAGACGGACAGACGGACAGACGGACAGACGGACGGACGGACGGACGGACGGACAGACAGACATGGCTTAATCGATTTCTTTTTTCATCCTGATCATTTATGTATACATTTGTCTATATCTATCTCGATTCGTTTTGGCTGTTACAAACAACCGTTATGTGAACAAAATTAATATACCCTTGTGCACAAGTGCGCTCGGGTATAAAAAAGTACATATGTATGTGTACATATTGCTTGAAAATATCAATTTTCCCTTACCTTAAACGGACTTACGGCCTTCTTTAGAAAAAATATATACGCTTAAAATAAAAATTAGCGAAATCGGCCCAATTTTATATAACCCTGCCTAACATGAAAATTTTCTATGCGATAAGGCTAGTAGCCATTTGATTATTAGTATATTTTTTTATCACAAAACTACGGTAAGATATTGACTGTTTTTTGTACATTTTTACAATGAGCAAGAGCTTACAGAACTAGTAGAGCGTATAAGAACAAGAGCTTACAGAAAAGTGGAGAAAACATAGAGGACCTAACTACATATACATTGGTAACTAAGTAAAAACGATTTTGGATTGCTTAGTCAAAACGGGAAACATATATATTTGAATCTTAAGAAAACAAGGCAAATAGCAAAATCGGCTAAAAACGGCTATTTTTTTTTTACAATACGGCTAACAAATTGGCTACCGGTTAAACCGAAATTTCTCCGGCTGTTTGCTATCTCAACCGACTAAATCTAGCCGAAAACGGCTCAAATGGCAACACTGGTTGGAACTTCAATACCAGTGTGACAAACGCAGGCATGGTTGGCATAACTGTCGGAAAACTGAGCCCCAATGCCGGACTGGATGATAACGGCCTGAGGCTGGTTGATTCCACTGCACAGTTAGCGAGATTTTTGTCTAAATCTTGCGTTTTTTCTCTACCGTGTACACTTAGCTTTAGAGCTCTATTGAGTGTTTCCACGTCTCTAGCGAGATTTTTATCTCAAGTCTCGCCTTTTTTCTCTACTGTGTATACTTATCTTAAGAAAATAACTTTTATCAATTTTCTTAGCTTTAACTTCGAAATTACATATATGTATAAGATTTTCTGATTTACATACTTAGCCTTTTAATGGGTACTTTTTTTTAGTTAGGTTCTTAAGTAAAAATTAAATTCCAATTTAATTACTTTTGTCTTTTCATGCAAATTTCTACAAAATATACATACGTATGTACATTAGACTGCATCACTCCCCATACAAAAAAAAAATCGGTACTATTTTTCCATTGGAATTATAAAATCTATTATATTTTAAGACGTCCACCAAAATATTTCGAAAAAATATTAAGATTTAAGTGAGCTGGACCAATTTCAAAATACCTCCAAAAATGGAGTTTTTTATGAATAAAAATAGTTTCTTAAATTTTTTTTTGAAAAAATCCCCTCAAATAACAAAACGGTTTAAGTTTAAAAAAATTGCATAAAAATATTAAAAAAAATAAAAAAAAAATTTAACGGAATCGTAATGATGAGATTTTTGATGGTGTTATTTTAACTTTTTTCAAAGTTTGGTATAAGAAAAACTTTAATAACTGAGCCTAAACTCTTCTGATTTAGACTTAAGAGATGTCGGTGGAAAGGTATTTTTTCACCCTTTTTACTCTTACACTCTTTGCTAATAAACTCATTCAGGGAATGAAAGAAAAAGGTAGGATGAACGAACGTCATTCAAAGATGAATAAAGATGTGTTGGTATTTAAAAAAAAAAAAAATGGGACACGAATGATTTTTTTTTTGACAGAAATAAAAAAAGTGTGAAAATACCTTTCTACTGAGATCCCATAAGTCTAAATCAGAATAGTCCAGTTGCCCAGTTATTCAAGTTTTTCGTAAATCAATCTTTGAAAAAAGTAAAAAAAAACAGCATCAAACTTACGATTCAGTTGAAAAGATTTTTAAATATTTTAATGCAGTTTTTTTAAGCTTAATCTGTTTTGTCATCTGAGGGGACTTTTTTCAAAAAGTTCTTTAAGAAACTATTTTTATTCATAAAAAAATCCATTTTTGGAGGTATTTTCACATCGGTCCAGGTCACTTAAATCTTATTATTTTTCCGGAATATTTTGATGGACGTCTTAAAATGTAATAAATTGTGTAATCCCGGCGGAAAAACCGCAACTTTTTTTGGTGATGCAGTCTAATGTACATACATGTCACCAATAAGAAATCTCGATGTGCTAGAAAAATACCAAAGATGTAGTTTAATTTAACATACCTAGATATTCAAAAAAATAACATTATTGAAACGATTATTATTTTCAGCAGTCTGGCAGCTCTAAGTTTGATGTTATTTTACTATCTAATTAATTCTTTTTATATAAAATTTAGCCAATTTTGACTCAAAATAGCAGTTTACATATTCACAACAAAATATATTTTATTAAAAAAAAAAATGCACATCCTTTCAATTGCAGTTTGTTATTTTCTGTAAATACATATATTGAGTTTCTTTAATTTGAGCTCTGAGTTATTTACCTTTTTACATGAATGATTCGGAATTCAATTGAACAATTAATATACATAGCTGCCAAGTTCTGCTCCGAAAAATTGTATCGCAAATCGATAAGAATGATCTTAATGTTGAGAACGCGCGTTCTACACTAACTTGTGTCGCTGGCACTTGATGTATAATACATGCCAGATCTCTTAGTCGGGGACATATAAATGTTTTACTCTCCCAGTAATCCATAAGGTCCGTATCAACATCAATGCGCTTGTCCTTATAGGTACCTATTTCCATAAATGCTTTTCGAACGTAATCTTCAAAAAAATAAAAGTCAAGTTTTGCTTTTATATTTGACTGAAAAAATTAAAGTCAAATTTTAATGTGATGGAGAGGAACTTGACCTCCCTTGGCGGATCTAATTAGCGCCAGTTAACATGAAGTAGTAAAG